ATATACAACTGTGGTCTTTCTATGGAATAATGAAAAATGGATACTAAATATGAATATAAAGATATGTGGTAAAATTGATACAAGGGAACCATAATATATACTAAGGGTTAATGCCTGCCAAGAGTTACAACTGTGGCAAATATGTATCCATAGAAAGACCACTGTTGTATATGTTGTCACACATATACAACAGTGGTCTTTCCATGGAATAATGAAAAATGGATACTAAATATGAATATAAAGATATGTGGTAAAATTGATACAAGGGAACCATAATATATACTAAGGGTTAATGCCTGCCAAGAGTTACAACTGTGGCAAATATGTATCCATAGAAAGACCACTGTTGTATATGTTGTCACACATATACAACAGTGGTCTTTCTATGGAATAATGGAAAATGGATACTAAATATGAATATAAAGATATGTGGTAAAATTGATACAAGGGAACCATAATATATACTAAAGGTTAATGCCTGCCAAGAGTTACAACTGTGGCAAATATGTATCCATAGAAAGACCACTGTTGTATATGTTGTCACACATATACAACAGTGGTCTTTCTATGGAATAATGGAAAATGGATACTAAATATGAATATAAAGATATGTGGTAAAATTGATACAAGGGAACCATAATATATACTAAGGGTTATCCCCCTATGAGGTAATCATTGGCCGAGGCATACGTTAAATATGAATATAAATGTTTTTTGTTCCGCATACAAATTATCCCGATCAGTAGCTCAACTATCGAGATATTTACTCACCAAATACTTGACTAACACAGAAATAAGTGCCCAAGATCTTACTGGCTGAAGGATACGCCTTTAATTTCTTAAGAATTGTAGATGATAGTCTTTTTTAAGTACCTAATAGACTAATTTTGTTTCAGGATCATAATGGAGAAGCTTTCTCATACTCAAGCGTTCATGTGAAATATTATGTACTACCTGTTGAAATCTTTGCCTTTTCGAAAATCGGTCTCTCGTGTCGGGTTGTCCTTGTCGTTCCTTTGTACAAAGAGTGAGAGAGAAAATAGAGAGTGCACAGATGGATAGTTCCCGTTGACAGGCCGCCATGGCCGTAATTCGATCTGGAGGACATTAATATTACTACAAAACCGTAAACAAAGTAATTTGATTTTTTTTACACCAAAAAATAATCATTGTATTTATTTTTCGCTATGTTAACAGGTAGATACACCAGCTTTACCAGCCAATATTTACCTTTTTAAATTTCAAACAGTGTGTACTGCACTCTCACTTCATTTAATGCTAATGTTAGATAAATGGTATGTTGTAGTATATGTATATAGAAAAAAATGTACGTAGGGTGACTTACATTTAAATTCATTACTTATCTTATTCAAACGATAGTTACCACGCGCCCAAACTGTTTGACAAACAAAATGATTAATTTTCGTCAGAGACGGTAGTGTAATAAGGACATGGACTGCGAGACTTGACAGTCGTCGATTATGTTCGGATTCGCTATTTGACTACTTCTGTAAACAATTCCTAGCAAAAACGTTTTAAATTTTAAGTTTAATTGGAGGGCAGCGAAAAAAATTAGCACCGCTTGTGCGTAGTGCAATTAGTGAATACGATAGTGGTATTGTATTTATTATTATATAAAAATAAGTTTTATACTGTGTGTTGTTATTCTTAATCGAGCGTAAGTGTGAATGTCTATGGGCCTCAGTATCCACTTACCATCAGGTAGATTGAGTGCTTGTATGTCATACTTATTCCATTAAAAAAACACATTGTCCGCGACGAACTCCTACGCTCTGAACAGATTTCAATGAAATTTTGCACACTATGTTGCTTGAGCACTTGCGAGATGGGATAGTTTTTATTCCCTATTAATTGTTCTCTATTATTGTTATTATTTAAGTAACCCTCAAATAAAACTTTTTTCGAACTTAATGATTTTTATAAGACAGAGTCGTCGTATATTACATGTGTGTGTGTGTGTGTGTTACCTACATACATCTTAGGGGATATTTTGTTTTCTGAAAATATTAATTTAATAAGATTTAAAAGGCACTTCATGAACTGTTGCCAGTGATAACGTTATTGTCATTCCCCAAGTCGTCAAAGGTGACAAACCACCCGTTGTTTTCTAGGGGCTGCCGTTGAGTGGATGGCTGAGCACTGAACAATAATATTATGAAAACGTAAAAATTAAACAAAGAAAAGATTTGTTATAATACACTAACTATATTTAAGCAGAGCAAACAATAAGTGAGTTCCACTTACTCAGTGTCGTAGAGAAACCTTTTAAAAAATATAGCTCTGTTGTTGTGGGAAGTTATTTTCGTATAAATCTGATTTCCGATACATAAGAGAAATCAATCGCGTAAAATTAAATTTTTTCGTATAAGTTTATTGTTACAAAATCGGCTAAATAACGGTACCGGCACCGGTTTACATGAGCTAGATATTTTCCATAACTTATTGGTCTGTAATATTAATTGATTATATGTTTGTTTAATAAGATGTTATAAACTTGTTATATTTACATATGGATCACACCGTTGCAGCTTGTTAAAGCCCACTGCTGAACCTATGTTCGCATCATCCCACATAGATTGCCGTATAGGGGGGATATTTGCTGTCCCGGCGCTGTCGTCGCGCCACAAGCGAAACACATCGAAGCCTAAATCGCGCTATCAAAGTTCCAAATCAAAAACAGTATATTATATAGAATAGCTCCAAACTATCACACGTAGCGTTGGCCGCTTCCCGGGCAGAACACCTTGCCCGGCGGGAGATCTCCCCTTTTCCTTCCGGCGGCCACATTGCTGTAGTTGCCACGCTTGGCAAGCGGGTTGGCATTCGCAGTTTTTTTTTATTTTAAGTCATTTTTAGAAATAGGAAGGAGACACTGCTGCCATCTTCTGATTGGTTTCCTTCCGTCGCCTCTTACAACGCTCATGGGATGATATGGTATTGGAGTAGTGGATATTCTCACACCGCCAAGACGCGGTATATGGATAATAATAATGTTAAATAATTTAAGTCAACCTGAGTCCAGTTTCTAAAAAGCGGCAACTGACATGTAGTTCTTTGAACAATAGTTCCCATAATCAACACGCTGCTGAAAAGAGTTGCAAAGAGAAGCATTACGTTTACTGCTGTTCACACGGGTTGACGGACGAGCTCAGGGCAAATATCTTCGTAGTGATAATAGACTAAATTTTATATGTAGTTCTCTATCACCAGTCTGTATGATTTTGTATAAGCGTTTTTGTATACAAATTTCGCGATCATTTTTTGGGACTGGAACAATTATTTATTGGCCCATACAAATAAATGCTTGTTCCGTGCGGGATTCGAAGCCGAGCGCCGCATTTCACTGCGCCTAGGAGCCGTCAAATATTAAATCATTCAGTATATTAAATAAATACTTATTAAAATCATCTACCACACGATAAGCGTTATAAAGTTTTAACTGAAATTTACCATTACGGAGAATGAATCACAAGTGGACTGCTCAACATAGGCGGAGAGCGGCTCGAATTGTTGATAACGGAGTTCTTTTCGATTGGCTCTAGATCCAATGTCCTTGTGAAGAGAGACGTTGAACTTCCGCATTTTTTATCTTTATCCATATTTATATTCGCATCTCATTGTACGATGTAACTTTTAATTCCATCTTCATTATCTTGATGGTTGTCAATCAATTCCCATACAACTTGAGAACTTAAAAAAAGCACCTAGGTAGGTATTCCTTCCTCAAATAACGAATACGCACAAGCAAGTCCTTCGGCGTTGCTTATGGCGGTGGTTTACTACCACTAATATATAAAATAGACCTGCCCGACTAATTTAAAAACTCGATCTTAAGCCACATGCTTATCTAATGTGTGGTGGTATATATTTACTACACTTCTTTGCATTAGAATTAGGTTTTATTACCTGCAAAATTTGTCTGACTTCAAATCGAAATGTATCAATTGCACACACTGCAGGAATAGTGTAGTGTAATATTGCAAGGATATCAATTATCTCCGGAAGATGGTCCCTTAGGATAAATTTGACAAATATATTTGATGCTTGACAGAGACACAATATTGCAATATGTAATTTTATCTGACATCTAATCTAATAAGCTAATAAAAGTTTTAAGGAAAACATAATACAAAATTTAGTCTTAATTTATTCGTAATCGGAACTTTCAATTAATCACAAATTCAAGACAAACATATGTGAACATGTTTTATTTTAATTTATATTCGACTGAAATAAGTGTCAACAAATGTAGAAATAACTCCAACTTAAAATAAAATTTTAATAACAAACGTTGAACAAAAGCCTCGTGCCATCAATGCTCTTTATAATCGGCTTTTCTCTTATCAATGCCTTTTATAGACAATGCCGTCTGAGCCCAGCTTTAAGAGAAAATAACTCACATTCGAATCTACATCAAGGTAAAAATAAAATGACTTTTAACCATTAAATTAATATGTTTTATGAACGTGGTACATATTACTTCAATGGTTATATACTATGTACTACGTTTCTCATATATATAAAAAAAATATATATATATATATATATTATTCGTTTAAATAATACTTCGATGTTTTAACTATTACTAACTACGCCTTGCTGTGGCTCAAAATGTATAATAAAGCATGTGCCTACTCGAATACAACGTTGTGTCAAATTTCAATTTTCGGAGATACGATTTTAACCGACTTTAGAAAAGGAGGACTTTGTCGATTAGAATATATTTTATATGTTCATCGATAATACTGTACCACGTTGTCCGATTTCAATATTTTTTTATTTGTTTGAAAAGGAATACCTTAGACATGGTCAAGATCTGAACGGGATCTATGAGAAAGTCATCAGTGTCATCCATTTATGCCCGACAAAATTATTATATCTTTGACATGCCAACCAATTTTGACGATTATTTTCCTTTTTAGTTCCTTGAAGTCGGTTTTTACCTTTTTAAAAGTTTAATAGAAAAAAATGTAGCTTACCTGAAATTCGAATGATGGAAAAACTGAAACAGTGTCGATGTCTGCTATGCTCTCTTTTAGCACTGGACATTGTTCTTGTATTACCTTAAAACAAGATTAATTATTAGTAATTGTTCAGTACACCTCAACAGCTCGTGGTACAATAATATGTTGAACTTAAAATTTTACGAAAGAACTAAAAAAAAGTATAATTTCTAGTTCTATCTCTCTTCTATCCAGCCAGCTCTCTCTCAGCCTTACGTGGTAGAGCCATGCTGCTGTTATATTAGTAGTATACTTGTATTATATTAGTAAGCTGAAGTGGCAATGGACCGGCCATATAACTCGAAGAACCGACAACCGTTGGAGAAGAAGGGTTCTCGAGTGGCAGCCTCGTACCGGTAGGCGAAGTGTAGGGCGACTCCCCACTAGATGGAGTGGCGACCTGGTAAGACATGCAGGAAGTCGATGGACGCAGGTGGCTCAGGACCGTGCTTTGTGGCATACCTTGGGGGAGGCCTATGTTCAGCAGTGGACTTGTGAAGGGCTGTAATGATGATGATGATGATATATATATAATATAACATATAACAACTTTACATCTACATACATATAATATACCTATATATATATATATATATATATATATAAAGTATTTGTCCACTCTCACTCGAGCATCTCATATATATATATATATATACGTACATACCATAATTATACAACTCACATTACATGAAACCATTCTTATCATGAAACTTTATCTTGTTTCAAAAGGTGTTCACGAATTAATTTCTCGAACAAGCACTTGCTTTTCGTATTGTGCTGTACTTCGTCTGCTTTTCGTGTGTCTTCGGGTAAAGAATTCCAGAGTAAAGTAGCCTGAATAGTAAAGGATTTCCTGGAGAATCCAGTGAAATGGGTTGGAATAGAAAATTGAATTTTATGACCAGACTAGAGGACCGTAGAACTCTGTTATGAGTTGAAAACAGAAATTGAAATATTTCCTTCAGAGAAGATGAATTGTTTAATATAGAAAAAAGAACAAGCAGAATTCTAGAGTTGCGTGTCTGTTTGACTGTGAGCCATTTTAGGCGATACAATAAAGGGAAACATGATCATACTTTCGAAGCCCGTATACGTATCTAATGCCATTATTAAGGAGACGCTCTAGCTTGTTGAAACGATATTAGTCCAAATCTGGGTAACCAACCTCTGCATAATCAATAATAGGTAAAATAAGTGTCTGCACAAGCGTGATCTTTGTGTTTACAGGTAGAAAATTCTTTAGACGATAGAGAGACCGTAAGGTGACAAAGACTTTGCGACTGATTACAGTGACATGTGTGTCCCATTTCAATGTGCTGTCCATGTACAGGCTTTGATTTTTCACGGAGCTCGAGAAGGGTATCAATATGTCATTGTTATAGACCGAAGGCAGATTTGATAAGCTTATCTTAGACAACATTCTCGAACTACACACAACTATTGCTTGACATTTTTTTGGGTTAACAGAGACACCAAAGCGCCTAGACCAATCACTAACAGGATTTAACTTCCTATTTAAGTTCGCAATAGCGTGGTCGCAATATAAAATACTTTACCGCTTAAATATCTAACTTTAAAATACACTATATAACTACGAAAGATGATATTGCACACTTCCAAAAAGCGAACAAAACAAATAAATGTGACAGATATTGATAATTTTGATGCTGATGCTATTAGATCCCATGTTTACGGCTACTAACCCGGTACAAGAATTCTGCCGCCTCCCCAAAAGTCAATTATTTATGTGCCTTAAATCTGCAAACTTATATGATGGCAGTGCAACATCTAGCTCAAAAGTTCCAATGGGAAGGGGTGGATACCTCATTGTTTGTCATGTTGGATCTGCCGGGGAAGGTTTTATAAAAAAAGTTTTGTTGGCATTTCAATTAAAAAGTACAAAAAAGTGCCACAAAGAATGAATATGAAAATCCTTCCAGAAAAGTGTACGATAATTATGGAGAATGCTCCCTATCACTCTATTCAACTAGATAAACCTCCCACATAAGCTAACAAATGTATAATTATGGTTTTATACGTTGTAGAGCAATGCTGCAGTTATATTAGTAGTATAGTTGTAGCACGAATGGGTCGGCTCGACCGGGGAAAGACCACGCTCTCACAGAATACCAGCGTCAAATAGTAGCTTAATGCTGCTGTGTTACGTATGTTGAGTGTAGAGAACCGGAGACCCTTTTTACTGGAAACGAGGCATTCCATCTTAGTCCTCACGGGTGACAACGCATCTACATTTTGATTCGTAATCGAGGATAGATGCAGATGTCTATGGGCCACAGCAACCACTTACCATCAGGTGGACTGTATGCTCGTTTGTCACCCTATCCCATAAAAATAGGCGGATCTAGTGGCATGGTCACAAAATCATGGTGTGGATGCTGACATGAATTTATTGAAAGCGGAACTGTAAAAATTAGTCAAACAAAATAAACCTGTGAGGCCAAAATACGCCATCGATAAGTTGGCACAGGAACATGGGGATAAATCAATACCATGCTATAGAGATGGTTTGGGATCAAGCTAAAGGTTAGTATTTAAATATTTTTATCTGAAAATATATAAATTGTAACTAATATTAAAAGGAGGAACCATTGTATACGTATTTATAAAAGAAAACAAATCTAGGAACATTATAATATTAGTAGATATTTTTCATCTAATATAGCGGCTTACTGCTATTGTATTTTCATTGTTAATTGAATGGCATATTTATTAGAACACACCTAGCCGTTTGACTCTACAAGGGAATAAAGAATGTAGTCATTATAACTTTACCATTTTTACAGGCTATGCTACACAGCAAAATACAAAATCTCCATTCACGACAAAAAATGCTTGGTCTTCTTAAAGAAACATACACACGTCACAAAAGATGATTCGATCAATGTAGCAGAAAGGACAAGGAAAATTATAACGGAAGACTCTAGAAGAGACGTATATTTTCACAATTTAATTGAAAATTAATTTAAAGGCTAACCGACAATTATATATATTAAATTAATTTAAAGGTTAACCGACAATTATATTTATTAAATTAATTCAAAGGTTAACCGATGAAGACAGTTCAACTGATGATAATTGTTCTGGATCATCCAGTGACGATAGTGAATAAAAATGTTACGAATTCAGTGAATTTATTTATTTACCTGACCCGAACCACACCTATTTATAGTTAATTTTATTATTGACTAGCGACCTGTCTCAGCTTCGTACGGGTGCATATGTGTGGCGTGCCTAGAGATTTCGTCTAGGTACGCCACTGGCACATAATATACAATGTATTAGGGTCAGACAGGGTAAATGTAAACACGTACCATCTACTGGGGTAAATGTGAACATCATTTAAGTAAATGGTGATTGGTAATTCGAAACTTTTTAGGTACACACATCATGCCTAGAAATCATAAAAAAACTATAAAAATTAAAAGAAAATTATAAGAAAACTACACATTATTTTTAATAACAAGGATTCTTGGTGACTGGTAATTGGAATTTTTTTACGCACACATCATGTCTAGAAAACATAAGAAAAAGAAAAATCTATCACAGTAGATGTAAAACGAAAAGATGTAATGAAAACATGTCGAGAGGCTAGTCAATTCTAAGGGATTCCTTTAGCTGCCATATTTAACAGATTGAAAGGTAGACAATCAAGCCTACATAGAATGGGTGTATCAAAAGCTCTACCACGAAAATTCTCACGTAAAGGCAAATATATTAAACGCTGGAACTGATATTTCATCGAGCGGTAGTATGACTAATTAAAATAAAATAAAGTAAAGTAAAGGAACCTTAAAAAATATTTGGTATACTTACTAGTCCACAGAAATTTAAAAAATCTGTAGTCAAGTTTAAAGCCTAGCACTTTTGGAAAAGTTTTGACTAGAAATGAAGAACTTCGGCGGTTAAAAAGCAGAGGCAGATAAATCTAAATCTAAATGCTCGAAGATGCAAGAAAAATAATAGAACAGTACGAATGGAAAAAAATTGAACCAAAATTAATTAAAAAATTAGAGATTCGTTCAAAAAATATTAAAACATAATTATACCTTTATATGTATTTTTGTCCACCATTTCCCCCTGACATTTTAATGAAATTTATTAATTTGTTTACAATTACACGGAAATATAATTGTTATCAATTACCCCAGTATTGCTTTCATATTGTAAATACGGCAAGTTTTGCTTGGTTTACATTGACAATAACTATTTAACTATATTGAAAATATTGCAAATAACACTTCCATCTGGAAGCAACATATAATTATGTATAGTGATGAATAAGCATGAGATAAATAAAAATAGACACATTTCTGCAAAGAACACAATTTTCATCGTTTACATTTACCCACTTTTTAACAAAAGGATGAAAATTAATGGTCAATTGTAAATAGTCAATTTCAAAAATGTATTATACATATTATACTTACTACCTAGTGTAACTATCACTATTGTTCATCATTTGCAATATATTCCACTACTTTATGGTACATTTTCACTGTCACAAAAATATTTGCTATGTTTTTAAGGAAATTACAAACAACTCGTAAAGTCTTTTCCCCATGCTGTTTACAATTACCCTGCCTGACCCTATTTTACGTAAACCTTCCGAAAGAAATCAGTATGTCGGGGTTTTAGTATATGTCTTGGCTTTAAAATTCATCCAAATTTAAACTTAGTGTGGATTTATGTAATAACCGTTAAATATTACAAGCTCGTACGTATAATAAACTAATATGCCTCGAGAATAAATTGTCTATTACAAACTAAGTAATCGATATGTATATACTCTATGAGTTTTTAAAGCAACCGATTTTTTCCCCATCATTAAAAAAAGTATTTTATACCTGTGAAATTGGACTTAGATTGTCGCTAAAATGAAGGAAAAAATAACTTTTAGAATAAGATCGTATTATGATCGAACGTGCATTATAATATAATCTCACCTTTTCTTTTTGTAACCTTTCGTGGAGAAACGGTGGAGGTGGTTTAAACTCTTCGTCCTCCGAGCTTGGCAAGTTATTACCTATAACAAAACAAAAATATAACATAGCCAAAACATGTTTAGAGACGGAACTCGTTATCATTTGAGTTATCAGTAAAAACATTCGGTTAAAATTTAATTAATGGACTAATGCATAACCCCGCTGGTAATAATGTAAATCATGTGCTCACGCACTAGATAGGCTATTCACCTAAGCTTGCGGCCCGCCCGTCCCTTTTCGAACTCACGTCAATATTTTAACGCAATTTCAACTCGAAATATAATTTACTGAAAGTAATTTTTGTAACTTCACTAAATATTAAACTTTGTGAAAATCATCCTTTCGGAATGTAAATAGATATAATATAAGTCAGTATTTCGACCAAAAAATTGAGTTTATTACCGTTTTAGAATATGCATGAAGTAGGCTTGTTAAGATATTGACCACAGGTGCTCACACTTCGTCATTGTAAAATCGAAAATTCCAATTTTTTATTTTAAAGTATTAAAAAAACAGCTTCATCTAGAAATATTTTGTAATTCAAGATGGCAAGGCCAATCAATCATTCACGGTTATTACCAGAGAAAATCAATTGGTTTCTAATAAATTTGTAGCCGTAGTACTCCATAATGTGAACGGATGTATCAAATTTCATACTCTTAAAAAAAGGTAATTTATTTCAGACTACAGCAGATATATTTATTCTTACACTTTTTTCTGAGTGGCTAAGTTGCCAATTACCTGCAGTGTTATCCATTATTTAGCGGACAACCTGTATATAACGATAAGATAATTAACAAAATTTTGCATAATTGTATAGATTAAAGAAATTTGCGGGCAGGACTATTTTGTACGATATAACAGACCAATATTTTTTTATAATCGCCCATGAAAGTCCATGAACAACTGCAACACCATGGGAATTGCAGGTGCATTACCGGCCCTTTAGAAAGGAGTAAGATGCCTAAGTCGTATCAGTCGAAAATCTCTGGTGATAAACGATTCCACAAAGAGATTGGACGAGGAAGAAAGCTACTAATAAAACGTACAGTGGCGAACCGCCAAGCATCCAGATGGTGTGGATGGTATCGGGAGTTATGTCGCGATGTGTGTTCGTGAAATTTGGCGACTGGAATTAATCCGAACGATTTCTCAGAGCACTCCCCGTGGTAGATGCGATAGAATACGGAAAGGGATGAAACATTCGTTTGCAGCGTCAGTGAACCAAGCCGATCAGAAATAACTCGGTCGTCGACGATTCGAAGAAGCTGGCACTGGCGTTCCCCGTCCTTGAGATAAGAACAGTATTCCATGTGAGGCCTAAGTTGCAAGCCGTGTGTCGGCGTGAAGTACTGTCCCATTCTGCTAAGCACGCCAAGCTTTTTGGAGACTAATAGCCTTCCCTTTAAATGACCATGAGACTGCACATCATTCGGTATGTCGACGCCAAGGATTTCGATGCTAGTTGAGGCAACAAGGGGAGTAAACTGGACTGGATTTAGTCGTCCTCAATCCGAGACTTTAGACACAAGTTAGTTCCGGTACTCGGTGACGTGATCTCGAGAAATATTGGCAGGACCGGTGTAAAAAACAGCACCTGTGCTGTCATCCGCATAACAATGAATACTACTGGTTTGCAACAAATCATTGATATGCAGAAGGAACAGCAGCACACAGCATTGTGGAACACCATCATTACTAGGCACATTCTCGACGATATCAATATATGTTCAGCAGTTTTATATATGGCTGCTAAAAAAGTAGAAAAACACTACTATTATTTGATGGGAGTCAGTAAGAGGCGGCAGAGGAAAATGTGTTTTATTTTCCTACGTCGCGTCGCCATGACGGAGATGAGTAGCAACAACAAAAAACTATGGTTGTTAACCCGCTTGCCAAGAATGGCAACTATGGCAAATGTCTTCCTTATGAGGCAATATATGGAGAGTACTATGTTCAGCGGTGGGCCTTTGAGATTATGTTATCAATGTATAAATAATTTACGGAATTCATCGGAAGTAACAAATAACAGATTTAATTTCACAATAAAGTGGCACAAGTGTAAGGCGCTTATTTAAGGCACTCATGAATGAATTACATAAAGTTTATATCGGTAAATAACAAAATTAGAAATAGAAAATGTCAGCAGTGATTTCATATGCAAAAGTAATACCAATCGGGGCATTTTTCATTGTTTTCAATGTTTCGAGCCTAATAGTAACAACTTAACAATATTTTTAAATAAGTGGCTTTTCATAGTTTTAAATGTTTCTCTGGTATAACTCAAACCTTACCAACAGAGTAGCAGGCGTTTAATTTCTATTTTGCTGCTGGCTTCGGTATTTCACTGTACAAATGTGGTACACGTGTGGCAAATAAAGCAAAGTAAAGGTTTATGGCTCCAGTAAAGCTATTAAAACTTCTTACTTAGTTAAAGTTACAGCCTAAATGGCCCACCACAACTGAACACAGGCCTCCTCTCTTTTCTGAGAGGGTTGTCGGGCAGAACGTATCCGCCGCGCTGCCCCAATACGTGTTGGCGAACTTCACGTGTCTTCGAAATATTTTTTTTCTTATTTGCAGGTTGCATGTGTGAGAAATAAGAAAAAAACCCACGATATTTTCCTTTAGCGCTGAGCACGTGGTAAATCAGCATTTTTTATAGGATAGGTTGATAAACGAGCACACAGTCCACCAGATGAGACTGGTAAGTGGTTGCTGTAGTCCATAGACATCTACATCTATCCTCGATTACGAATCAAAATGCAGGTGCGTTGTCACCCGTGAGGACTACGGAATGCCTCGTTTCCAGTAAAATGGGTCTCCGGTTCTCTAAACTCACAATACGAAACACAGCAGCATTAAGCTACTATTTTACGCTGGTGTTCTGTGAGAGCGTGGTCCTTCCCCAGTCTAGCCGACCCATTCGTTTTTTATAATTAAAATTAAATTTAGGTAATTGCAGCATGGCTCTACCACGTGTAAAAATTGCAATTAACAATTTCATTGGTGCCGGCGGGGCTCGAACCCGGGTTGCTCGCGTACTGTGAAATTTACAGCGAGCGCTAACCATCTGCGCTACTACGGCTCTTATTAAAACTTCTCGCTTCGACCTAAATACCTATTATCTAAAGATGTTCAGGCTAATTTAGCACAAAACACTAAAAACATTGTCTGCTATATCTACTAACTTTACAATACGAGTATAACAGCATCTAGTAAACATACGTGACATCGTTTCCCAATCTGAGCAGGCATTGTTCAAATAACGGAGAAGGTACTTCGGGCCGAATATTAACGATGCGCTTGAAATTGGGTATTGACCAGTTTACCCCAGTGGATTTGCGAACTGTGTATATGCAAATAGTTATCTCGACTATTGAATTGCCAATTAAATTACACAGTATGTATACTGAATATATGTATTTCATATCAACAGCAGTACAACTACAACCAACAATACGATCATTGTTGAAGAATAACTAACGTAAAGCAAATCCCTTCATGCAGTCCGCCTGAGTTAGTAGTATCCGCTTGTCTACGTAGGCCACTCAAAAAATTTGTTGAAACTAAAAAGTTCTATAGTTAAAATTTTAATGTTCAAAATCTCTTGTTCTCACAGAACTACCTAACTACCGCATAACCACCAGCGTCTATTCAAAGTTTCATGCGCCTGTACCAATTTTAAAAACTTTTCCAGGTCGCCTCCGAGACCTTTTACAAGGTTGCTAGCGCATCTTCCGGCGATGAAAACTGTATTCCTATTTAGCGTGACCTATTACATCTTAGTGGTGACAATGCATATGTAGCCGTTTTTACAGTATTTTATACGTATGGATAAGTTCTTAATTGATTGACAACTTGAATATATTTTACTGTCTATTTATTTACGCTGCTTAATACGTAATAAGGAATTGCCTTAAATGGAACGAAATTGTAAATTGAAATGTATTGCATGAAAACCGTATAATGAATAAATACAGAGATAATCATTTATATCATAATCTAATAATTAATAATAAGAATTAATTTTTATTTGTTTGCATTTTATGCGCTGACATACCTACCGTTTATCAGATTGCGGTAAAACTTTGTCAACACATTGCTTGCACTTCCGCGTAGATTATCGGCATAGTTGGACCCGGTAGGTGGCGATGTTGTAGAATCCAGATATAACCCGTGCGAAGCCGGGGCAGATTGCCAGTGTAAAATATAAACATTTCTTGTAATACTTCAAATATTAGAGCAATTATATATCATTAATGATTTATATAATCGTTCAGTTTGTCCCTATTTGTAGATGTTACTTTAATTCAGAGTGTGCAAGCGTTCTCTATTCGTGTTGCTTAATGAACAATACCTGGATGACCGAGCTTTGCTCGTTTTTTTTTTTGAAATTACATTTAGATACAAATTACATACTGATGAAATATGAATATTTTTTGATATTATTGACATAATAGAAGAAACTGAACTGGTTATTTGAAAAAAAAATCATGAGTGCAATTAGTTTAATTAAAATTTTCGTATTTTTAAAATATATCAAAAAAGGGCTCGAAATAATAGATTTTCTCACAAAAGAAGGTAACTTGAAAAAAAAAGGAAAAAAATTCGGACCGAAGACAAGACGCGAACCAAGGCGTTGCGATTTCGCGACCGCTCGATATTCACTTGAGCTATTACGATCACAAACACAGTATCAAAATTTACCTTCTTATATTGTAGCAGTTTTTCATTGCCTGAAAACCCGGACAAAAAGACATTTTCTAAAAATAAATCCTAGCTAGATCGATTTATTGCCCCCGAAACTGGACACTAAATTTTATGAAAAACGTTGCAGCTGTTTCCGAGATTCTGATTATATATATATAAACTAAAAGGTATAGGATTCTGGTGCTTGAGAACTGGTATAGTATACTGATACGTGTAGTGAGCTTGAGTTGTTCAATCAAAGTAAATATAAACTGAATTAAGGTATATATATTTTAAGATAAAATTTAATTCTCTGACAGAGTTACAGTTGGTAGTAATTGGGATGAAT